TAAGAGAAGCTCGCTGTGAAAAAGAGAAAGCCTTAGACTGTCATCCCAATCTTCAAGGGAGCTCGATAGAACGGTGGCGACGATTGTTTGTAGCATTTCCCAATTCTCTTGTTCGTGGGTAGCAATTTGCTAATTTAGGGATTCTTATTTATTTTTTGACCTAAATTTGGCTAAATGTGATGTCTTTAGTTATATTTAAACTATTTATTGAGAGAGTTTGTGCTTTTTGACTTAAGTCATCTTCTTGACAAAAGTCAGCGAAGGAGGAGAAAGTTGTTAGTTTTCCTTTTAGGGATCATAGCCATGATTGACTTAGGTTATTATATCGCGTAGCTTATTTTGTTATAAATTTTTTGAGATTGCTTATTGAGATTGCTCTCATGACAATAATGGGATATACATTTTTTAGATAACTAGTATAATGCACGTGGTATAATGCATGTGCTTTGCACGCGAACGTAAATGTTTTAAGATTTAATTTTTTTATTATTAAATAGTAAAAGTATGTGTTAATAAATAAAATTGTATAATAAAATTGCTTAAAAAGAAATGTATGAATTAATTATTATAGCGTAGTTATTTTAATTGAAAGTTTTTCTTATAATAAATATCCAATGCTAACCTTTTTTTTAAATAAATCCGCTAAATCTACAATTGTTCTTAAATACGTCTACCAAAACTATAAGTTTTCTTAAATATGACCTTCTAACTTGAAAGTTGTTAGCTTAACTCTAAATTAACTGAGCTGCATTCGTCTTGCTAGATTTTTCTTGATGTTCCCTAGAGAGTTACACTCAACACCATCAATATCTTGCAATAGTTATTTCTTATTATAATTATTTAATAGGGTAAATTACACTAAACCCTTATGAACTTTCAGCCCCTATGAACTTTTAAAATCATACTAAAACCCTAATAACTTTTCCGTTTCAAATAAAATCCCAAATAAATTTCTAAAATTTGCATATAACCATATAAATTATAATCAAAAAATGTCATAAAAAGACATTTTGAAAGTTATTGGGGGTTTGGTGTAATTTATCTAAAAGCTATTGGGGGCTTTCGGCAAAAGTTATTAGAGGATTTTGAAAGTTCATAGAGTCTATTTGTTGCAAAATGCTGAAAGTTCATAGGGGTTTACTGTAATGTATCTTATTTATTATTATAATTCTTAGTTCAAGTAATACTATTTAAAATTAGGGCCGGCCCTGGGGTAAGCCTACCAAGCCCCGGGCCTGGGGCAACCCAGGGCCGGGGGGCAATCCATCCCTCCCGCTCCTTCACCCCTTAAACTGTAATTATCTTTGATTTTTGAAGTGAACTTTGTAAGAGGACCTTTATGTAAAAATTGTTAGGGGTTCTATTTGTAAAAGAACTCTAATGAATACCCAAAACCCTACGCAACTCCTTTATTTCCGTCAGCATTTCCTCTCCTCCTTCCCGTCTCTGTTCCTCTCACAAAAAAAGAAAAAAGAAAGAAAGAGAGAAACCCGCTCCTCTCCTCCTTCCCGAGCCTCCGAGGGTCCGACCTTACTCTGCTCCCATCGGACTCGTCCTTCAGGCTTTACCCCGCTGATTCCTCCAACCCAATCGGGTAAATTTTTTTAACTAAATAATTTTAGGGTTTTTATGGACAGAAATTTAGGTTTTTGATGTTTTGCAATAAAATTAAGATTTCTGATTTTGAATCTTGGTTAAATCTTAGTTGTTGAATAATTGAATTAGGGGTTATGATGTTTTGGAATGAGTTGCTTATCGAATTTTGTTAACTATCCCAGTTACGGTTGCCTCGACGGAGAGAAGTTTCTCCAAGTTAAAATTGATAAAAATTTATCTTCGCACTACCATGTCACAAGAACGATTGAATGGATTGGTAATGATATCAATTGAAAATGAATACCTGAAGAAACTTGAGTATGATGACTTAATTGAAGAATTCGCTTCAAAAAATTCAATGAGAAGTATTTTTCTTTGAATTAAATTGTAACACAAATATATTTTCTTCTTATATGAATATTGATTTTACATGAGAATATTATTAGTTTGAGCCCAATATAGAACGCTAAATTGTATTATATATATTCATTTTTATCGTAATTGTTCATACTAAATTTTTAATATAATGGGCAACCAAAATTGGATTGGGCTAGGGCAACCCAAAGCTTGAGGCCGGCCCTGTTTAAAATAATTATACTATCTATATACTAAAAAATATTTATCTAATTTATTTTTTTATTTATGCTCTTAAATAATTTAGTACTATAAATTCTTTATAAATTTTTATTATACTATCATTAACAATTAATAGTACTATTATTAATATTGGATAATTTTTTTGTAAAAAAGATTAGTTTTCAATCATTACTAGGTATAGATTATTTAGTATCATGTAATAATCTTTGAAAAAAATGTTTTAAAAATAATATTAAATTATTTATTTAATTTATTTAATAATATAATATTAAATAAATAGATTAATTCATAATTCATGTGATATTATTAAAACAATTATACTATTTATGATATTAAATATTTATTCTATTTATTTAATTGCTCATTGAATTATAGCATAATTCATAATAATATTTAGTAATATATTATTTTATGTATACTATTATTTTAATTATTTTATTATAATTCATAAATAATAATAATAATAATAATTGGTTACTATTAATAATTGTGTATATTTATTTTATAAATTATTGTATTATATTATTATTAAACAACTAATAGTTATAATATTATTGATAATTATAATTATTTAGAGGAGGTGCATAATTAATAAGTGGTTATATTTATTTAATAAAAAATTAATTAGAGATAATGATATTCTTAGAATTTATCAAAATTTAAAAGGGAAAAAGAGAAAATTAAAAGATTTAACACCCCAATCCTCTTTTTATAGTAGTATAGATTTATGGTGAGCTCTTATTGGAGGTATTAAAGGAAAATGGGACTGCTTAATTGATTGCGGGAGTGCGTTATGTGGTTGGAAACTTGTATAAGAATTTAATTTTAGTTTCCACTAAAAAAACCATAGAGAGTTTTTTGTTAAGATAAGCAACACTCCTAGAAGCATTTTCTATATCCTAATTATAGTTCAATGTTATGTTATATAATTCAAACGTGAAGTTATATCTATGTACAGAGTGGAGCGCAAGAAAACTGTCACTATAATTGTTTGAAGGGTTATTTAGGGCCTGTTCGTTTGTTTTCAAAAAAGCAAGAAATGGAAATGGAAATGGTGGAAATCTCAAAATAATCCATTTCTTCCATTTCCATCCCTAAAACTCACCCACAACATCCAATAAAATATTATTTTCATCCAACAACTCATCCACATCATCTAATAAAATATTATTTTCATCTAACCACTCATCCACCACATCTAATAAAATATTATTTTCATCTAACAACTCATCCATCACATCTAATAAAATATTATTTTCATCCAAACATCACTCAACTCATCTCTTTTTATTATTTCAAATCACTCACATCATCGAATAAAATATTATAACAATTCACCTCATCTCATTAACATTTCATTTCTTCCATTTCATCCCAAAAAGTTGTGAAAACACATTTCTTAATCTTTCTTCACATCAACCAATAATACAATGACAACTCATCTCATCTCATTTCATTTCTTATTTTTAAGAATGAACCGAACAAAAGAAAACAAGAAAACTACAGGAAATAGGTTTCTTATAATTCATTTCCTTATTTTTTTTCGCCAACCGAACAACATCAAAACTAGTTTTCTTAAAAAATCACTCACATCATCCAATAATAATGTGACAACTCATCTCATCTCATCTCCATTTCTTTGATTTCTTTTTTTTTAGCCAACCGAACACTCCAAAACAATTCTTCATTTTCCATTTCTTTGATTTCCCATTTTTTTAAGACAAACGAACAGGCCCTTAGAGTAGACAGGCCGGCTGGGTAACCTTTTTTAATAAACGGGTAGGGTAGCATGACTTGTTTAATAAACGAGTTAGATTCAGTTCAAGGCTATATTGGTCACGTCAAAAATTGATCTGGCCCAACCCGTTTGTTACTCCTGGTTGGGCGGGGCTTTCAGTTTACCGTCCCATCGTTCGGAGATATTTTTTGGAATTTACCAATATATAATAGTAGATATTCCCCCATTTACTTATCTTGTCCGGATGCGGATCTTCCATATATCCGTACGAATCTGACACGTTAACTAACATTCCTAGTATGAGTGCAAAACGGTTTGAATATGTCAGGACTAACCATATCCGTTTAGAATGCATATATGCTAAAAAAAATTGAAACCGGCCGAATATGAATTCGGGTTTTGATTTTTCATCCGGGTGCGGTTTTAGATACAGTTTTTGGGTAGAAAAATTGAAGTTCCGGATGTTTGAAATGTGCTAAGGGCCTGTTTGTTTGCACGGAAGTAATTGTGAAGTAGCTGAAGTAAAAGAAGTAGAGGCTACTTCCGCTACTTCCAAGCAAAAAAGTATGTTTGGTTCTCTGAAAAACTCACTTTCAATACTTCCCTAAAATGCTTATGTGGCGCCTACGTGTCATCCTTACTTCCAAAATATTTTTCCAATCCTCAATACCCAGAAGTAGCTCGGAAGTAGTTGAAATGCATATTAATTATGACATAAATAATTTTTTTATTACTATTTTCTTTATTAGTTACTTTTAACAACTTTTCATCGATAAAATTACTTCCTAATAATATTTCCAAATAGTATCCAAACAAAAAAAAGTAAATGAAGAGGAAGAAGTTCTACTTCCATTACTTCTAAAAATATATGAAACAAACAAAAAAAATACTATTTCTGCTACTTCCTACTTCATAGCTTTGAAAGTTACTTTTATAACCTACTTCTTACTTCTAATACTTCCATTATCCAAACGGGCCCTAAGTAGCAAAGATGCCAATACTTATATCGGGTCTATAACATATACTCATGACCCGACCCGAATTCAATTCAATGTAAAAAGACCAGCGGGCAATTTTTTTTGCACTTTTCACGACCCCAGTTTCTTGCCCCGCTCGGCTGTTCGTCCAGATTCGTCCTCCGCCTCCGCCTCCGCCTTCAAGCTCCTCCCGCATTTAAGCCTTAGCCTCCGACTTCAATCCTCGTCCTCTGCGCTCTCGCCTTCTTTGCTCGACGATCTCGAGAAGTCCGCCTCGTCCTCTTCTTCATCGACGACCATCAACGCCGACCTCCTCTTCTTCTCGGAAGATTCTCCTCCTCAATTTCTTCTATCCCTAAGGTGAACTCAATACCGTAATTTGTTGATGCCCTAATTTTTTGTTTGATAAAAGCCCTAATTTCTAGCTCTTTGTTGACTGAAGTGAAAAGCCCTAATTTGTTTCATAAAATCCCTAATTTATTAGCCCTAATTGTTTTCAGTTGCATATTTTTTTTATTATGATTGTAATTCGTATAATTATATTCTTTGTTTGATTAAGTTTACAAATTTCATTGGATAGATATCAGAATCATGTTTAATCCATCAGTTCAAGCTTCTAACGTAGAACCCCCTGTTGAACCGGTCATTGAACCCACAGTAGAAGAGTCTTCTAATAAAATAGAGGAAAAACCTGAGAAGAAACTCATAGAGTTAGGATTAAGTGCAAGCCAACACTCAGGTTATATTTAGTGATATAGAATTAGGATTCACACCTCTTTCCAGGTTAGTTTATGCAAGGATGCATGCCAACACTTGGGTACTTGTATTAAAGATAAGAGTGTGTTTGAAGAGTTCATAGCAATTTGTTAAGATTGGTCTGCATGAGGACTAGTGTTTATGTCTATGAGGTGACAATTTCTATATGCTTGAATAAACTTATCTTGATTATGTTTAATAGATGAATGCTTTTTTTAGTTATATTTAGTTTGTGAAACATTATAATCATATGTATTTCTTTTGTCATATCCGATTCATATCCGTTTTTCAAATATCTGATTAATATCCGTATCGTATCCGTATCCGCTTCTCTAATATCCAAACCGTATCTTTTTCGTTTAGTGCGGATATGGCCATGTTTTTTTCTTACCGATGAATGTCCGCATCCGTATCTGTAGCCGTAGCCGTTTTTAGAAAGCGGATATGGTAAGTGTCATATCCGAACCGTATCCGAACCGAATGCACCCCTAGTTCCCAGGGTTATAGTCATCCTCTGCAGTGGAACTCTCTAGACCAGAGTTGAAATTAGGGTTTTAGATAACCCCCAATTTCAAAAATCCGTGTGTTTTCTCTTATTTTGGTCAGGTCCTTGATCTGGGTCTCTCTTATTTTGATGAATTACTTCTAATTTTACCCAATTTTATTTAGCTTGTTTAGGTTAATGAGTCAAAAGTTATTGGAAATTATGATGCTTCTTCTTCATCAAGCCTTACTTTAGTTTTTCTTCTATTTTTGCTTAGTTCCTTGATATGGATCTCTCTCAGTTGGATGAATTATGTCATTTCTATCTTACTCATTTATTTGAGTAGTTTGGGTTAAGGGATTGCAGTTGCTGAATTTTTTTTGATGACTTAATACTCTCCTTCGTGTTCATTAAGCCTGATTGTAGTTTTGCAATTTCTCTTCCTGCATGCTAAAAATATGATTTTTGCTCAGCCTAATCTAAGATTACGGTTTTTGTTACCGAATAGTAAGTTATTCAAGATTTCAAGTTATAGGTGAAAAGAATCCAGGTAGAGGATGGCCACACATCTGTTTGAGGACATTTTTGAGGTGAAAGGTTTGGACCCAGATGGGAAGAAGTTCGATAAAGGTACATTACTACTTTCACTTCAATAAAGTTTATGCGTACGAGTTCCTTATTTGTTGATTATCATATGTTTATTGTGATTTTCTAGTGTCTCGGATTGTAGCAGACAGTCAGCAGTTTGAAATGAACATGCAGCTAGATGTAAATACTGAGGTCTACCCACTTCGCGTTGGTGACAGATTCACCATGGTTTTAGCACCGACCCTCAGTCTGGATGGAACTCCTGACACTGGTTATTATATGCCGGTATGCCCTTTTTACGTAATCTTTTATGTTTGTGGTCTTTGTACCATTAGTGTATGGTATAGTCTTTATAATCCACTTGGCTTATAATCCACAAATAGATTATAAATCAAGTGGTAAGCAACAGTATTTGTAAGCCACAAAGATTGTCATCAGTTTTTATATGAAAACAGAGATTCACCATTTACGTTGTTACAAACATATCACCTCTTCTTGTAGACTTATATTGTTTTCCTATATAAAATTATCTATAATGTAGTTGTGCATCCCTTTTTTAATTTTATAATGTGTGTTGGCCAAAAAAAGATGAGTGGGTTCTTGACTCGAGCTTATTTGCTAGAATGCTAGATTTATTGGGACTCTTCAAATCAAATTCAAGTAATTTATGGGCCATTTTTCAATTTATATTAGTATAAAATATTTTGTGCGAAAGTCCTGATTACTTGTCACTATAATGTATGAAGTTTTTACAACATAACTGCAAAATCTCATTTCCAGAGCTCATATTTATTCTGGATTCAAGTTTAGATGTAGCAAACAAACAAAGTCTCATGTATTCACATTGGTCATGCATTCACTTCTAATTTAGGAATATAAAAGTAGATCTCTAATGTTGACTAAATCATATGTTTATAGCATAAAACTTTAAAAGTTAAGGTTGGTTTAAACCTCCTATTTGCCACTTAACTCTCCTATGCTTAAAATACCTTTTTTTAACCTCTTGTTTATCTAGCCCATTGAAAAACTTTGCTCTAGACTTTTCGTACCTAAGCGAAGCAGCGGTTTGGAGAGGGTTAGTTGAAAGGAATCAAATTAGGGTGTGGAACACATTATCAAATTTTGCTTTAGACCTTAGAAGTAAACTCCTGCTTGATCATAGCATTTCGGACTCTAAACAAAGAAAGAGTGACAAAAGTTCCTCTAGGTCGCATCAGAAACAACTTGAACAACGGCCAATTGCATTCCATTAACCCTGCCTGCTAGCTGACCAACTGCACCCTATGGAGCAGCGATCCATGATTATTGTGTTTAAACAGCAGTCATTTTATTTATTGTTGCTCATATGAGTTATTTTCTTAAATAGCTTTATAATATAATCCCATCGACTAAGGTTAATTGGTCCCCTAATCCTTCTGAGTACTAACCTATTTATTAGTGAGACTAGAACATCTTTACCTAGTTATGATCCAGTTACTAATCCTTCTGAGTACTAACCTATTTATTAGTGAGACTAGAACATCTTTACCTAGTTATGATCCAGTTAATTCATATCCAATAATTTCATGTCTTATTAGTGAGACTAGAACATCTTTACCTAGTTATGATCCAGTTAATTCATATCCAATAATTTCATGTCAGGTTCATGTCACTCCAGTTGAGTCAGCACCCTAATCAAGGGATAAACATGTTAGGCTGCTATGATAAGTCCATTCTTACAGCTTCACACACACTTAACACATTTATGTATGTGTATATAATGTTTGTTGTTTAAAAATATATAGCTGAGATGATGAAGCATGGAGCAAAGGCTGCTTCCAGGAAACTGATTGAAGAAACTGTGGAGTTTTTTTTTTAAAGTTCTATTTACTAACTAATGTTAGTTTCTATCTATGAGCATGTTTGGTTACTTTGGATTATAATCCACTTGGCTTATTATCCACAAAGAGATTATAAGTCGAGTGGATTGTAAGCCAAAGTGTTCGGTAAATTTAATGGATTATAATCTATGTACAATAGTGGAGTGTTCGGCAAATAAGTGGCTTATAACTTTATAAGTCATCATTGTTCTCAAAATGATGAAAAAGGAGTAATAGGGTTGGAGAGAGGTAAATAAGGTTTGGAAATTTATGACATAATGAGGGGTATATTAGCCTTGGTCAAACTTTGTGACGTATCAAGCCAAAATAAGTCATTGGCCAAACGTGTCAAAGTGGCTTATAAACCACAAAAGAGTGGTTTATAAGCCACTTTGACCACTTGCCAATCATGCTCCATATATAAATAATCTCATGTTTCTGTTTTCCTTCGCAGAGGTTAGAATTGTTTACATATCTTTAAATAAAATAAAAAAAATTCTTTAAGATAACTTTGGTGAATGATTATCCTTAAAGATTGCTTTTAAGTTAATTCTTAATGAAAATTCCTTCTAAGATAATCAGGTGATTAAATGTACAATATTTCAATATAGCTTATTCAAAAGTAATGCTTGGTTCCCCCCTCCCATACTTGCTATCTGCAACTTTGTCTTTGTCTTTTCTTAAAGCATCTTTGCTGAAAATTGGTGATGCTGAATTTCAATTGAACGTCCTTCCATTAACTTTTTTGTTTCTTATTCCTTATTGTATTTGTACCATTTTCTTTGGAATCTGATAGGATAATAATTTTTCAACTGCAGGGTGCTCGGAAATCTCTTGCAGACAAGTTTGAGTATGTTATGCATGGGAAACTGTATAAGATCTCGGAAGAGGGTTCTGATGGAAGAGTCAAAGTGTAGGACCTTTGCTAGAGCTTTTATTTATCATATTGAATAATTGTTTCTACGAACTAGGTCTAAATTATCCTTTCTTTATACCTGCTATGGTGTTTAACTGCATAATTTTTTGTTCGTGAAACCATCTCTTTGCATTCATTTTTCTCTCATACTTGTATATAAAAGTAGATTTGGTAGCACATTTGGTTACACCTGCAAATGATTGATATAGCTTTTGAGGTTTTATCCATGGTCTTGACAACAGATGAAATAGTCTGCTGTGAAATTGTAAATTTTTAGGCTTATGCTACTATTTTCATCAAGTTTAAGGCTTCTGGAACTTGGTACCTTATGTAGGACCGATATTTCAAAGGAGGAGACAGTCTCTTGTCAAGTAGGTATCTTATACCTGGACACTCTTGGTACTTATTTAACTCCTGGCACTTAATAAATAAATGTATCTAACAGGCTAACACTAAAAAGTTTAAAGCCAAATGTCCGAGTGATGGCTTTGTAATACTATTGATAGATGTATAGTGTCTATATAATTTGTCCGGATTCTTTATAAAGAATATGATTGTTTATGTAACTAATTACCACATATAAGTTTAACCTTGTTATTGTTGTATGCATTACATGATTGTATCCTACATTTAAGGGTTTACTCTAGCTTTGTAGTCGTACCCTATTTTGTGCGAATCACTGTAGATGTATGTATTACCATTACATGGTGCTCTGAAAGTTTGTGTTGATTTTATCTAATAGAAATAGTTCATGGTCTTTTTTTGGAAAAACTCCCAAACGTTCATGTTTTTCTTTACCCTAAATAGTTAGAAGTTTATTTGAGTACATAATACAAATTTTTTGTTTTGGTGTAAACTTACACATTTAGGGAGTGTTTGACAACTTTGTAAAATTGGGCCAGGACTGAACCTGACCCAATTTTATGTTGTTTCTTATTTGTCAAAATTCTGAGTTAGATCTGGCCCTATTTTTTGTGCCCAAATAGTGTCACTAAACTAGTTTTGTTTTGGACCAGGGGAGTCTGGTCCAAAACAAAACTAGATTAGCACAAAACTGGGCCAGGACGGACTGGTCCTGGCCCGGTTTTGCTCAATTTGCCAAACTGACCCTTAGTGATTTTGCTCCATTTTTCAAACTTACCCTTAGTGATTTCTTTTGTTTTTTCTGCGCTCATTTGTTAGATGGGCATCGAACTTTGCTGCTGTTTACCTTGGATTACCTTCAATATTAAATAAAAGATGTATATTCAAGAATAATCGCTTCTTTTTAATCATCCCAAATTCCTTGGCCTCATTGATTGTTCCTAACTGGTATTCATATCTTGTGACAGGGATATATATGCTTCATTTGGTGGCCTTCTAATGATGCTCAGGGGTGATCCTTCTAATGCAAACAACTTTGAGCTGGATCAGAG